CTCGGCCCTAGCCAAACTGCAACAAAAAAATAGTGGGGCGTTGTGGCTGGCGCCTGTAGTCTCAGCTACTCAGGAGGCTGAGGCAAGAGAATCACCTAAGCTCAAGAGCTGGAGTTTTCTGTGAGCTGTGATGCTACAATACTCTACCGAGTGTGACAAAGTGAGACTGTGTCTCTAAAAAAAATAAATAAATAAAATAATGTTGAGACATGGTCTGCTGTGTTGCCTGCACTGGTCTTCAACCGCTGTCCTTGAGCAGTCCTCGCACCTTACCCTCCAAAGTGTCCTGGTATTACAGAAGCGAGTCACCATATCTCACTCTCCATATTTTCTTTTTCCTTTTCTTTTCTTTTATTGGTCTTACATCTTTCCATATTTTCTTCTGGGAGTTTTGTAGTTTTAGCTCTTACATTTATGCCTTTGGTAAATTTTGAGTTACACTTTTTTTTTTGGCCGGGGCCGGATTTGATTCCGCCACCTCTGGTATATGGGGCCGGTGCCCTACTCCTTTGAGCCACAGGTGCTGCTCTTGAGTTACCTTTTTATATAAAGTGTCAGATACTTCATTATTTTGCATGTTTATTTCCACTAGTTGCAGTACCATTCGTTGAAAAGACTGTTCTTTCCTCGTTCAGTGGTGGCTCTTGCCTGTAATCCTAGCAGTGTGGGAAGCCAAAAAGGGAGGATTGCCTGAACTCATAGGTTCAAGACCAACCTGAGTCAGTGCGAGACCTGGTCTCTAAAAATAGCCGGATAGCTGTGTCCCAGCTACTTGGTAGACTGAGGCAAGAGAATTGCTTGAGCCCGAGAGTTTGAGGTTGCTGTGAGCTAGGACCGCATCGCACTCTGCTGAGGGCAACAAAGTGAGACTCTATCTCAAAAAGAAAACTGATTATAAATATGATAGTCTCTTTCTTGACTCAGTTGTACTTCATTGATTTATATGTCTAACAGTAGTATCACACTGTGTTGATTACTACAGCTTTATAGTAGGTTTTGGAATCAAGAGGTACATGTTCTCTAACTTCATTCTTTTTAGAATTGCTGTGGCTATTTTGGGTTCCTTGAGTTTCCATATGTCTTTTAGGCTTAGCTTGTCGATTTCGGC